ACACTTCCCTAAATTGACATTCAAGACAAATTCATGATGAAACACTTTACAGTATGCTTACACACAGACTACAGAGAAAAGGGAACATAGTAAAGATTCAGATGTTAAGTGTCTGTAATCCAGTTCACATAAACATGACACAGTGGAGAACACACAGATAGAGATGATCCTGCCCCTCCATCCTGCTCTCGTGAGACCCCACTGGGAGCACTGTGTGCAGTTCTGGTGTCCTCACATAAGAAGGGCATGGAGCTGTTGGAGCAAGTCCAGAGGAGGCCACAGGGATGATAAGGGGCTGGAGCACTTCCTGTAGGAAGACAGACTGAGAAAGTTGGGGCTGTTCAGCCTGCAGAAGAGAAGCTGTGTGGTGAACTCATAGCAGCCTTCCAGTATCTGAAGGGAGCCTACAAGGATGCTTCAGAGGGACTCTTCATCAGGGACTGTAGCGATAGGACAAGAAGTAATGGGTTTAAACTTAAGTAGAGGAAGTTCAGGTTAGATACATGGAAGAAGTTCTTTCCTGTTAGGGTGGTGAGGCACTGGATTGGGTTGCCCAAAGAAGTGGTGAATGCTCCATCCCAGGCAGTGTTCAAGGCCAGGTTGGACAGAGCCTTAGGCGACATGGTCTAGTGTGAGGCATCCCTGCCCACGGCAGGGGGTTGGAACTAGATGATCTTAAAGTCCCTCCCAACTGCAACCATTCTATGATTCTATGTACAGGTGTATATATGTAAGTATAATAAATAAATGACAAGGATCTACAAATAAGGGTTTTAATAAGTAATTTTTCAAGAAGGATGAAGTAGAGAAGACCTGTACGTAGCAGAGGAAACCTATTCTTACTCACTGTATTTTGTGGACATAATGCTTTAGATGAAGAATTTGCTGTTTTCAATTACAATAACAGCTTCTGAAATGCATTACATGCAGGTCCAGGCCAAGTGTTAGTACTGGCATGGAAGCTGCCATGAAGCTTGTCCTTTTTAAAACTGAAAGAAAAAAATTCCCTTCTATCAGCAAAGTTCTTCTGTAAAGGTAAGTCTAAAATCCAACATTCTGATTTTTCATCAGTGTTTAGCTTTCCATATTTACCTTTTACAAGAGGCAAGTATTCATTAATCTTCTGTTTGTGAAAGCTTGGAACTTTTACATTTATAGGATCTAGCCTGCAGGTAACTGCCATATTTATGGATTATTTTTTTTTATTTTATTTTTTTAAATCTAGATTGATCTTAGAAACAGCTACATATTCTGTTCAGAGTTTCAGGGGGGAGGGAAAAACAACCCTGAGCTTGGACAAAGGGCAGAAGTCATTCAAACAGAATCAGAACAGCTCATCGTCTTTATCTGAAAACACCTTATTCCACATCACAGAAAGTCAGGCTGGTTACATACATCCCACTTGGAGTTAAGGTCAGTGACTGAAAGCAGCTCAACATAAAACAGCTGCGTAACAACAAGAGCTAAGCAAAATCAACTGTGATTTGAGAAAAGCAGTTTACTACCTCTAAAAAGTTGTTAGCTGCCAGTTAGACTATGAGGTTCAAACAAGATACCCTTCTGTATAGGCAGGGTCTGCTGTAAGGCCCTTCTGTATAAAGCTCAACTCTGACCTTTTGTAAACTCACTTGTGAAACACAGGTAATATTTGCTGAAAAGAGAACATGAAGCAACAGCAAATTGAGTAGTGCACAGGATTATTACCAGAACTTCCTTCATTTAGTACTTAAACCCTTTATTATAGAGTGTCCTTTTTGGAGCTCAAATGAAGGGAGGCTGAAGAGACTGCTTGGTAGAGCATAGCACTGTGAAGCTATTTTTCTCCTAACTGCCCTTCAAACTTTCCTGTGTACTACCTTCCCTACAAGACCGGGCACAATACAGCTATAATATCCACAAGCCAGTTTATTAACCAAACATTTCTGTGCTTCACCCCTTATTTGGGAAATGCTTGATACACGTCAGGATTGCTGCAGGCAGACTGTGGGAGCACAGGGAGGAAAGAACACTATGTGCATTTCAGATAAAGGACTGACAAAAACTTTTTTGCCAATTTACAGCAATTGTCTCTGTTTCTCTGGATTTGTTTTGCTTATGGAGTCACTCCACTACTTGGGGTTTAGCAAGTAAAGAAAAATTAATGGCAAAGTTATTTCTTTTCCTTTTCTTATTCTAAGAATAACTAGATGACTTTCACCAAAGCTTTAAAAAAGTTGAGGCAGAACATGTCCTCATCTTAGTTCTAGCTACACTGACTTGGAAATAAAAGCTTACCACAGAAAAAAGGAAGGATGAAGAACAACCTTCAGAATTGCAGGGTCCCTGATTAGGACAAAAAAAATGTGTTCCTTCTCTCAGAATCCTGAGATTGCTGGTGATTGCTTGCATCTAAAGCAATAAAGCAAGTTCATTTTAAGGCCTTTCTCCTCTTCCTCAAAAAAAAAAAAAAAAGGAAGGAAATACGCCCCAAACTATCAAATAGCAAATGCATATTTACGTGTACCCAAGCCATTATTCTGTTAAGTAGAGTAACTTCAACATGAGTGATTCATTTCTGCACACAAAAAGCTATATTTTCTAGTCCCTATGATGAATCAGTTGCAGCAATTCTGAACTATTTCCCACACATTTTAAATGAATGCTCTAACATCAACCAAAACACAAGCAAGCATACATGCACACAAAAAAAGGCTCCGCTGCCACAGCCTAACTTCACAAGGATTCATAAAGTACAGCACATACTGTGTAGATCTCCCTTCACCGTTTGCCCTTTCACTGCTCTGCTTCTGCTCTTAGAGGCTGACTTGGGTCTTAAGAGCACAATCAGACCCTGTCATGAATACAGATGCAAATCCTGCTTCATGACCTGAAGTTATGACTCCAAACAGTTTAATGGTTTCTAGGGGGAGGGGGGTAAAGCTATGTCAATACAGCATTACTGATGTTGACCAACTGAATTTAAGGTTAGGCACTAACAAAGGCGACACCTGCAGCTGGGGGTAGACTGAAGCTACTGAGAGTCACCTAGGTGACTAATTTCCCAAGAATTTGGATATAAGACCCCAAACTGTTTGCAAGCAGATGTTTTTAGCCATACTGTTTACTGTAGGATCAAGGTCTAGCTCAGCAGTAAATAATACCACAGAGAAAGAAGAAAAGGGAAGAAGAACATTACAGCTGTGGAAATACAGAATATACATTTATTAAGATAAAGTTATCCTTTTAGTTCCTTCTTTATTGTATAATAAAAAATTGGATGCAGCAGCCACAGAAGACAGTGAGGTCTGTTATATGCAGTTCCAAAATTAACATGCTACCAAATGATTCTGCATTTCTTTTTTTGTAAAATGGGACTTTTGTTCTTGGGTAATTCTTGTGTAAACAACAATATATATATAATTCATTATAGATGTTATAAAATATATACAATATTATGAGAATAAGCATAAGGTTGTCTTTCGTAATACAAATTGACTGACTTTTCAAATTATCACAGTACAAAGAAACACATTAGTATATGAATGAGTAAATTATTTCTTATATAAATATAAAAAGTCACAGAGGTCCCTTTAACAGCAGTATGGCTGCATAGCACCAGAACAAGGAAAATAAAGGCAGACATGGCACCTATTTTTTTCCTAAAGACTTTGAAGCATTCATTACTGAAGTTAGACATCTGTGATGATCTAAAGTAAGCTTTAAATGTTTGACAAGTCTGCTGACAGTTATCTTAGACTAAAAACGACACTCTGTATCATTTAGCTGGGAACTGGTTTGTGCTTGGGATATAGCGTTGTAAATGTTAATAAAAAACCTAATGAGACAATTTATTCCCAAATAATAACGTACTGATTAGACCACAGTATGCAAAACACTGCAGGGCCTCATCACTCCTGAGAGTCAGAGAAGCATATCATAAACTGAGAAAGTGGAAATTAACACTGAAATAGACAAAAACAGCCAGTGGATGGTAAACAGATTTTATTATGTAAACTACCGGAATCCTGAAACTTACTTAGTGTATTTCCTTCAATTTCTTTCCGCTTCCAGTTTAAAAGGACCATTTGACAAATTTGTGTTTTATTAACCACAGTAATTGAAGCCAGCCGCTCATCAATAGTGGACAGGCTTCTTAAAAAGCCTAGTGCAACACTCTTATCTTCTCTTCGCAGGAGGATCGGATACACACACACACACACACAAAACCCCAAGCACACATCAAGATCTGGGGACGCCCGACTCGGGGTTTCCCAGGTCCCTCCTCGAACCCGGAGCATCCCCAGAGCCCTCGCCAGCGATGACGGACGCACCCGGGGACCCCGGCCCACCCCAGCGCTGGCACTCCGGAGGGACGAGCAGCGCGGCCCTCCGCAGGCGGCGGGCTCGCGGCCTGCACCCCACCCATAAACACGCCGGCTGTCACAGCCCCGCCCCGCCGCTCATAATCCCCGTTTTAGCCACACCGGCATTCCCCACCTCGGTAATCCCAACCCCGGTAAGAGGGCCGCAGAGATCCTGCCCGTCCCCCGCCCCGCAGGTTGATCCCCTCCAGCCCCTCCCACCGCTCTCCTCGGGCCTACACGACACCCCCCTTCCCTGCTCCAGCCCGGCTCTCCTCCCGCACCGCCACCATTACCGTGAAGGGGATGTCCTCCACGCTGCCCACCGAGTAGCAGTTGTCCCCGGGGTTCACGGCGCCGGTGAGCACCTGGTGCAGATGCATCGCGGCGGCGAGCGGACGAGACCCGGATGGCTCCGCGCGGAGCCCAGGCCCTGCCCACTGCCGCCGCGGGCGGGCGAGCGGGCGGGCGGGCGCGCGCCGGGGAGGCGGAGCACGCGCAGGGCTCAGAGTGAGTCAGGTGAGGCGCGCGCGCACAGGGACCGCCCCCGCGAGAGCAGCGGCCGTTGTGCGCGCGCCCGGGAGGCATTTAAAGGCGCGCGGGGTGGCCGGGGAGGGTCATTGCTCATCCTGTCAGTGCGGGTCCCGCCACGGGGCGGGCCGCAGGGGAGCGCCGGGGTTGAAAGAGGAGAGGGAGGGACGGCTGAGGATGCGGAGCGCTCGGCTGGTGCCGTCAGGTGAGGGAGTGGCAGGGCGCCTCACAGGGCGGGCTGGAGGAAAAGCAGGAGTTGGAGGAGGAGGCGGTTATCCGCCTCTGCAGCGCCTGGGGAGGTGTGTCCCGTCAGAGGAGGGACTGGCAGCTCCTCCCTGGCTGGAGGCCGGCAGGTGCAGCCGCCGCTGCACTTTTATTAGTTACGTGCAGCCGTTCTGTGGATGGTTTGGGCTGTTCTCTTTAAGGATCCTCGCGTTTGGTCGTGAAGCTCTTTAGGAAGCTTTTGGGAGTCTGCCTCTGGAGGCCACCAGCAACTGCTGGCTGGTGTGCTGTAGTTGATCACTGAGGGGTTGTACTTAGCTATCGATTCAAGAATGGAGCCGACATTAAGTCAGGCTGCTTTGTGTCTGTGAGAAATACACCATGTTTCAGGGTCGTTGTAAATACCATTTACTAGGAGTTGGTGAGAAAATTACCAGTACTTGACACTAAAAGCATAGCATGAGGAGGTGGGAGACCGCTGCTGTTTAAGGTGTGTGGTTGCGTTTTAGGCACATCGTGTGACCTCATGCAAATTATCGTGGGGCTTATGCTGCTTTATTTGTGTTAACTGCCAAACGTTGTTGAAAACAAAGGCCTTTAAATGTACTTATCTTTTTCTGTCTGGGAAGTGTGAAGAAGGCTGGTTCCTGAAAAGTGTTTGGAAGGGATTCTAAACTCTGAAGGAGGAAAAACAAAATACTTTCTAGGCTGTTTGTCATGGTACCAAGAAAGTTCTTCGGTTTTGTGTACTAGGTAGTCTTGCTATTGTACCATTGGTGCTAATGATTGAACCTGCGAAAGTCAATCTCTTTTTAAGTCTATAGCAATATTCCTTCAGAATTCATCTTGCCTTTCACCTCTTCTTGAAAGTGTACATCTCTTACTGAATAAGTGAGTTTGCTCGGAATGTAGAGGCAAATGAAGGCATAACCAAGTTATCTTTTGCCGGAAAAAAACATTGTTGTAGCATTCACTGTTTTTTCAACTGCTGTACTTGTTAAAGGCTGTCTTTTTTATTTTTTTGATGGGAACGGTATCTCTACCTGGGATGAAAGGGGAAAAAAATACTATTGATCTTCAGTTGACCTGGTTGCATGTGAAACCACTATGTAATGTTTATATGTTTCCACTGATTAGTGTTCCATAACTTCTTTGATTGAAGACATTGTCCATATAAAATGTATGCTAATTTACAGTTGTTTTTTATTTTGGGTAAGTTTGGTTTTTTTTTCCTGAATTCATGCAACAGGACTTAGAGGCAAAAGCAGTGTCATGAAGCTTTCTGTTTGGTTTGTTTTTTTTTTGTTTGGTTTTTTTTCCTGTTTTTTAAGTAAGTGAAACGAAGTTCAACTAATGCCTGAAAAGACAGCTAGCTTTTGAATTTGCACAGTCAGTCATAAAATTATGTAGGATGCTAGGAGAATAGTATGATCCGAAGGAAAGCAACCTATGCAGGACTGCCTTTCATTTCAAAAGTGAAATACTGCACTCCAGGCTTGGTATCTTGAAACCTAAAGAACACAGTCCATTTCTAACACTGTCAGCTTTCCATGTTCCTCCTGAAGGCCTTTACCTGTCCACAAAAAAGAGAACTTGTGAGCATAATACTTCTATGTTTCTGTGAATGATTGTCTCAAAGCTTCACTGGGTTCTTGAAGTATTATTTTTGTTTTTTTTTTAAATTGTGTTTTTGCCTGAAGAAAAAATACTTGCCTGTTTTCTCTAGAACTCAAATCCAGCCATTAGCTTTACTTGGAGAAAATCCTGTTCTTTGATCCATAAGATGCAACACCTGTTCTTTAATATTGATTTCTGAACTGCAATGTGAGTTTCCTCTCAACCTTTGTTATTACTGACACAACAAGGTAGTTGCCAAAAAGATATTAGTATGTAAACATTGTCCCTGTAATGGTCTTAATTTTGTGAAGTGTTGCTCACTGTGTTTCTGCAGAAAGCCTTAAAGGCTTTATGAAGGGTGGTCACCTCTTACATACTCTTGAAAGGTTCTTGCTACAACGCAATTTTTGCTTGGATATTTTTAAAAGATTGTGTTTATGGAAACTTGCTTCCCAAGGGATATCTAAATGCTGAATGCTTTTGGTAGTGCATAGGTGTCTTAACATCTTCCCCTCTTTGGACTCTTACTGTCCTGTAGAATAATCACTTGTACTTTCTATTTTACAGAAGACAAAAAAGGGCATTAAAAATGAAACTTTTTGGTAATTCTTTTAAACCACAATTGGGTACTTGTGGAGGAGGTAACTAGTGATTAAAAATGCCAATCCATTAAGTGGTGAAGTAGGAAAAAGGACAGGCAATTTAAACAGCACAGGGGAGTTGAGGCACTTATTTGAAGGTGCTGACTTTCTGTGGCTAAGGAGAAGGCTATATCTAAGAGTGCTGTCTTAATTCTCTTCAGAACCTTCAAGGCTTTTGTTTTGTTGACTCGTATAATTGTGATGGCAGTTGCAGACTGGTAGAGTTTTCTGTGGGGAGTGGGTTAAGACTTTTTTTATTTTGTAATTTTTTTATTTTTATTTTTAGGAAATGACTGAGTAGATGCTAGACAAGCAGAGGCAGAATAAACATAAATTACTCCTAGTAGTGATATGTGGCATGACATTATACTTTAATGACATAGGATTAAGTATTAACTGGTTCAGTTGGCTGAATTTGTGTGCTCTATGCCAAATCCTTATGTTATACAGAAGTTTAGCTACTGAGCAAACATGTTTAGCATGATTTTCTGAGTGTCTGGGTCAAATATGTGGTAGGAGGCACTGTTTTAATATAAATAGTTTTTTTTTAAATGGAAGAATATGTTGTACTCTTGCAGTTCTGATCATCTGTGTATCTTGCTTTTCTACGTATATCTTTCAAGTATCTGGAAACTAGATTTCCTTCAGTGAAGTCACAAATGGCCATATACATAGAGTTCTTTAACTTCTACTCTAAATGATGAGTTAGTGGAATGACAAATGTTTTTAAAGTCAGTTGCAGAAAAACAACTTCGTAACATAATAAAAACCAGTTTGTATCAGACCAAGTGTTCTGATGGCACTAAATGTAAATGAAACGTGTCCTGGGAATTTCCCTATATCATCTTTATGGGGGTAAAAGCAAACAAACAAATCTCAGATGCATACTGAGTCAAAGGCAGATGTTTCTGTCCTTAAAAAGGACATGAATGGTGTTGCATGGGGTTATTTATAGTACAGACTTGTATCCAGGAACTCAAGGACACAAGAAGAGGATTCCGCTTATGAACTTCTGATGACTGTTTTCAGGCTCAGGCCACATCTTCAACACCAACCATTATATAAGCACCACAGCAAAGACTGAGGAAGACTTCAATTAAAAGCCCTTCTGGGGATCTTAAGCCAAAATACTTTGGACTGACATTTGGAAAGCCTGTCATCAGTTTAGGTTTGTGTTGATTTCTTGTAGTAGTTCTTGTAGTGTGTATTTATTTCTTCAATTTCAAGGTGCCTTGTCACTAATAAATTCTGACTTTATAAGGTGGCTATTATTCTTCTAATAAGAAAAAACTGTAAGGGAAGAATTTTTCTCCTGTGTTATTTTAATTTTTGATTTCTGCATGGTACCCTTCTTGAATTTTACTGGCACCTATGTAGACTGTTTTAAAAACATGTGCATCTTGATGTTATTTTGCCTAACTTAATTTCTGCAGGTACCTGAATGCATCCTAAATCATCATATTCTTAAGACTCACTGGCTTTTGGTAAGACCTTAACTAGCTTAAGTTTAAGCCTGTTACAATAGAAGAATAGATAATTATACTTCAAAAGATTGTAGTATGGATTTTTAAGTTGTATGTAAAATCAACCAAGCTTGTAACACTATAGCTGTCACTTTTGCTTCCTTTGAACTGAAGATGTAAATAAAGTATGCAAACATTTATGGATTTAGCTGTTAAAAGTCACTATGAACTTACTTTCTTCTGTTTGCAATATTAGTAACAAATAAACCCTATTTCTCTATCTCAAAGTATACTGAGTGAGAAAGAGGAGTGGAAACAGTTTCCACACTGTTCAATTTTTGTTCTTTATATGCTCAGCAAAATCTCTGCAGAACGTACCTATAGTACCTAGCTCACCTGAGCTATTGCTAATTATCCCAATGGCATTTTCTTATGCTGAGAACAACATTGCAATGTATCTATATGGGCTGTGGCTTAGGCAGTACTGATGTGTCTACTGTGAATAAATTTGGGTCCCCAGTATTTAGCCTGTTGGCAGTTATGGATTGTTTGAAGTCAAGTAAAATAGTTATCAATATTCCTTCTTACTAACATAACTCTGAGGCATCTCTCACCAACTTGACTTAGTGGTGAAATTTATTTTTAAAACTTGAGGGAGGTTCTTGTGTCTAATTGACTTTTAAAAAGCTGGGGATATATTTAGTAGTGTCTGAGACTGCGTGAGTGATATTCTTCCCCCTCATCAATCAGTAAACAGTTGAAAATACAAAATCTACTGTGAAATGGAAAATTAAAAACCAAAAATTCCCCCAAATACCTCTACTTTAGATGCTTTGCCCTGATATGCTTCTCCAGCTGAAAAGTTAATTAGAAGCAGGTCCACTGAATAGTCTTTAGTTATCTTTTATCCATTGTAAACCAGTATTAGTGAAGGAAACTTCAGCTGGTAGTAAGCAACAGTAATACCAATGAGCAGTGTTTCAGTGAGTTAAATTTGAGTTACTGACCTTTTCTTAATGAAAGAAAGGTCAAATTATAATCTTTACTACATTTTTAGAGGAAAAAGCTCACCCAAACAATGTTTTAGAGGTACAGAGTCCTGTGTTCAGTGAGAATTAAGTTGTCTGATTAGGAAATGGACTGACAAATATTTGCTTGATATGTGACTTAATGACTTCTGATGACTGGGAGAGACTTAGAAAAATGGACTGGGATTTTACTTGTCCTTGCTGTTCTGACAGAGAACATTGTATGTTCTGTGG